GTGTGTGTTTGTGTGGGAGTGTGTGGGTGTGTGTATGAGAGAGAGTGTGTGGGTGTGTGTGTTTGGGAGTGGGTGTGTGTGTGTGTGTGGGTGTGTGTATGAGAGAGAGTGTGTGGGTGTGTGTGTGTATGAGAGAATGTGTGTGTGTGTGAGTGAGTGTGTACGAGAGAGTGTGTGGGTGTGTGTGTTTGTGTGAGCATGTGAAACTGTCTGTTTTCACTCCTTTTTCTATCTTTCTGTGTCTCTTTCTGCACCTTTTTCCTATCATTTTCTCTCTCCCCTTGCTTTCTCACTCATTGCATCTTGCTGTTTCTGAATTGTGAATCTTGGTCTCTCAGTCTCTCTCTGTCTCTTTTGTATCTCACTCCTCGCACTCTGAGTGTTTGACTCCATACCCCTCTCTCACTCACTGTGTCTCCCTCCACCCATCGGGGGTCTCCTTTTCCCATCTTCCCCTCTCCCTGTCTCTCTCCTTGTGTCCACCATACTGCCTTTGTTTGTTGTTCTTCTTCTGTGTCTGTGTCAGTTGCTCTGCGTGTATTCTCTGTCAGTCTGGAGTAACATTTCAGTGCACTGTGCTGCAACCCAGCTCCCCAGAAACACTAATCTGTGGAAACCTACCATCGTAGCAAGTTTGAAATATTGATTGATTCTGATCAAGATCGGTGCAACATTCCATCTGCTCGTGGTGGCACATTCCAAATCACGTTGTTTTGGCCAAGAGGGAAACAGTGAGGTCTCAGAAGACAGAACGTTGGCCAATTACACTTTGTGAAGTCCCACTTATTGAGTTCCCTGGTGTGGCCTGGTGACATTGGAAACAAGACCACAGGGATGGTCACATGACTTTTAAAGGGACGCTTGGCAAGATGGCTGCCATCAGTTCCGTAACTTGACGTCCTTACAAACCTGTGCTTCTTGTTGTGTTTTTCTTTTTCTCTTTGTGGTCGTCTTCACAGGGAACTCACTCTCAATGAGCCACCTCAGACCTGCTGGTCTGGACTGTGCGGGCACCCCAAGATGGTGACTCAAGTTCACGTTGTTGCTGCAAGCGGATTGGCCCAACAGGATGGTGCGACAGGTACCATGCACGCACGTGAGAGAGAGGGACAGAGAGAGACAGAGAGAGAGAGAGAGAGACTGGATCTTTAACTATCCTGACCACGACCCAGGCCTGCAGCCCACCGCCTGCCCTGGGCTCAGTTCCTGGCTGAGGGTGTGCTGGAGGTCACATTTGATTGAGGCACTTGAAAGGGCATTCGCTGTTTGGAAGGGAAGACTGTGCAGTGTTTGGGAGTGGAGGGAGGGTGGGCAATGCTGGAGGTGAGATGCTCAGTTGGAAAGCCAATATAGACACGATGGGCTGACAGTCATCCTTCTGTGCTGTATTGATTCTGTGACTCCCCGAATCCTGTCCATTGTCTATGAGGCACAATGCGATGGAATACTCTCTGCTTTCCCGGATGAGTTGCATGACTTTATGGGGGAGGCTTAGATGGCACTCAAGAAGCTGAAAGACCACCCACGATGAATGGTACCTTAAACACTCATCACCGATTCTCAGTTGCAGCAGTGTGTACCATCTGCAAGGTTTGCAAAAGCAATTCACCGTCCCAAACCCATGACCGTGACCATTTTGAAGGACAAGGCAGTGGAATCATGGCAACACCATGCCCCTGCATGTTGCCCTCTAAGCCATTCACTATCCTTTGCTGTTACTGGGTCAAAATCCTGGAATACCCCCCACCCAGGGCAGTTTTTTTTTTAACAGGTTAAGGGCATCACTGGCTAGGCAGCATTTATTGTCCATCGTGTCAACCACACTGCTGTGGGCCTGGAGTCACATGTAGGCCAGACCAGGATGGTAGTTTCCTTCCCTAAAGGGCATTAGTGAACTAGAAGGGTTTTTTTTCCCCCCTAACAACTGGCAATGGATTCACGGTCATCATTAGATTTTTAATTCCAGATATTTATTGAATTCAAATCCCACCATCTGCTATGGCGGGATTCGAACCTGGGTCCTCAGAACATTATCTGGGTCTCTGGATTCATAGCCTAGCGATGATACCACTAGGCCATTGCCTCCCCCATAGAGGCACTGTGGGTCAACCTACAGTACATGGGCTGCAGTGGTTCAAGAAGGCAGCTCACCATCACTTTCTCAAGGGGCAACTAGGGACAAGCAGCGCCTTGAACAGTTAATGAAAACAATCCCTGTTTAATGGTGTTACGCATGTTGTTCTCCCAATTCACGCACAAGTAGCTACATCAGCACAAAGGACCTGGGAATTGTAAATGTTATTGGTGCTGGAGATGAATAGAAGTCAGCAGGTGCTGAGGACGGTGGGTGAACAGGACTCGGTCCTAGTTCAAGGGCTCGTACGAGTCCCATTACTCAAAAATGGTCAGCTCTCCATTGCCTGCTTGGGAACCCTCGGAATGATGTAGTAATCTCTGTCGTTATCAGGAGCTGATCCGTATGTCATTATCCGGTGCGGAAGAGAGAAGGTCCGGTCGCCTATCCACAAGAACACGGTGAATCCGGAATTTGACGTAAAGGGAATCTTCTACAGGAAAGATCCCAAAGAGCCCATCCGCATCGAGGTGAGGGAATCTACTGTGTGAGGACTGTGTCCAACACATTCTCCTTTCTCCTTCTTCTTTCAGATATCACTTTGAGAATGCCACAGGCTTCTCGTGCCAAGCTGAGGGTTTAGTCTATGTAGAATCCTAATAGCCCACAAGGATCCCACTTGGCCCATCGCTTGTACTAGCCCCATGAAAGGATGAACCGATTAATTCCTCCCACCCACCTTGCCACCCGGTGTGTCAGCCTGATTGGTGATTCCTTGCTGCCAGCCTTGGGAATGAGCTTCATAACCAAACCCTCCTCTCTCATGTGCCCCATAGAATATTACTTCACTCTGACCAAGCTTCCCATACACTCCGTTATGGCAGAAAGGAAAAAGTCTAGGCACAATCTTCTTTCTTGCTGGTTGGCATGTCCAGGATCCATCCGTAGCTCAGGGACTTTGAGCAGTGGGTGTGAGAAGAGAGATGCCTGTGTGTAGTGCCCAATGCCAACACATCACGTATGGTTCTGGGGCAAGTAGCTTTCTCGCCCTTGAGTCAGAACATTGTGGGCATGTCGCACTCCAGAGATTCCTACACAAAGACCTGGGCTGGTACTGAGGGAGTGCTGTTGTGTTGGAGGTGCCAACTCTCTGATGATGTATTAAATCAAGGCCTGTTCCACCCTCTGAGGTAATCGTAAAAGATCCATGCTACTATTTCGGACAAGGGGATAGGTTTTGCTCCAATTATTAATACAAATATGACGCAGACTTAACTAACTTGTCATAAGGTTTGGAAATTTTCTCTCACGCTTGATGAAAGGTTGGGGTAAAGGCCAGAAGACACTTAATGGGGTGGAATGGTGGCTCAGTGGTTAGCACTGCTGCCTCACAATACCAGAGACCCAGGTTCAATTCCGCCCTCAGGTGACTGTCTGTGTGGAGTTTGCACATTCTCCCCATGTCTGTGTGGATTTCCTCAGGGTGCTCCAGTTTCCTCCCACAGTCTAAAGAAGTCTAGGGTAGGTGGATTGGCCATGTTAAATTACCTGTAGTGCCCAAGGATGTTTAGATTAGGTGGGTTAGACAAGGGAAATGCAGGGGTAGAGGAATGGGACTGGGTGGAATGGTCTTCAGAGAGGCAGTCTGGACCTTTTGGGCTAAATGGTATTGTAGGGATTCTATGAAAAGGAACCCATTAAAGCCTTGCAATCTTTTTTTCTGAATTGCCCAGGAGTGTGGCTCTTTCTCCATGGCAATGTCTCAGCCAATCAATAAAGACTTGCCACCCAATTCACACCTCTTCTCCTGTAGCAAAATTCGTTGAGACTATTGGAAATTTAGCGTTCTTGCATTTAATCCTGACGTCCGTGAGATGGAACGGAACAGCTTTCCATGGAATTCCAGCCGATTTGCTTATTTTCTTCTCTTTCTGTCCAGATCTGGAATAACAATGTCCTGAGTGACCAGTTCCTTGGTCAAGTGACTGTGATGACGGATCTTAGTGACCTCCAGCCACATCATGTCCTTCCCCTGAAGGACAAGAGTAACCGACAGGACAGTGAGCTCCCTGGGACTATCAGCCTGAACATCAGTAGCAGCCATGAGTTGGCCAGTATCTAAACTCTGCAAAAAAATAACTCATCACCATCGGAAAAATGGAACAATCGATCAAATCAGGGTTCGACCGGGGTCATCTAGGATCCATGGATAAGAAATTTTAGGAATGGGAAAAGGCTCTTGGGGTCTAGGTCTGTCCCTCAAACCAACATCCCTTCAGCCCCATCCCCGTTATGGAGTCTTATATATTTGTTTCTCAGTGTGAGGAACGTTTTGGGAGTGTGGGGCTGGGGTATAAAGTGGGGCTGCCCCAGTAGGTTTTTCTCCTGTAAATTTCTGCATGATGTCCCTTCTCGTTTAGCACCCTTTCCCAACGCACACACTTCCAATCCTTTCCTCCTGCCCACTCCTTGATACATCGCGCCCCCCCCCACCCCGCCACACACCTTTGACAAAAGGAATGGGCAAAAACGAAGAAATGGTAGTGATTGTTGTGACTGCTGGAAAGTGTGGCATTCTTGCATTCAATCCTGATGAGCATAAACAGCTGATCACCATCAATATCCAGTATCGCTCCCTCTCTCCTAGTGGACTGTTCATAGCTTGACTCCCTTTCTTGGAGTCAGGGTAAGGCTCAGTTCTTACTCCTATTTAGCCTCTTTCAGCACCACCATGCTCCAGGCAACAAGCAGTTTTCTAACCTGCAAATTATCACTGTCCAGAGACTTATACTGATGACTAGGTCATGAAAAAATGAAAGAGCAGATGATGATCAGAGAGGGAGTTTAATGACTGGT